GGAAGGGAGTATTACTGAAAAAATAAGCCTGGGCCATTGCTTAAATATATAAAATAGATTTGTGCTGCTTTTGAGTCAAAGAAAGAAAGAAACCTGGTCTATTTGTGTTTCACAACAGCAAGGGTACTGTAGGCAGCACAAAGTATCAGTACAAGAAAAGGACATCTCTGATGTTTGTGTGTTGCACACGCAGGTTAAGGAAATGATTTTAATTTAACCAACCAGGTCCCATGACTCAAGGTGAGAAAAATTCTTCTTTAGTGCTGTTCTGCATCCTTTGCCAGAAAGCTGTTCCCAATTGAAACTATATTTATCCGTTATTTACCAGTTTAGTCAGCTGAGGACAAGTTGTTCTGAAAATGTTTGCTTAAATTAGCCAGCCAGGCATCAAGAAGAAAAAGGAGAGGAGTGGGAAGAAAAACCAATATGGAAACACATCTAAAATTCCAGGGAAAATATCTCTGTTGACTTTATCAGGATATAGCCAAGATCTGCAGTCAACAGAGAATTATGGCTGCTAAAATAAAGAGACTAGATTCTCCAAAGAAAGAAAAGGCAGTGATAGGAAAATAGAGGGAACTTCCTAAGTTCTCGTGAAAAGGGGGAAAATGGAGGTTCAGCTGCAAAGAAGCATTGGAAAGGAATGAAAACTGAGGAAGTAAATGAAAATATGTATGACCATTGATTTTAATGGTTAAAAATGTCAGTCATTGGCCTTGTTTGCAAATTTCCCTGAATAGGTGGTAGGGGCACAGGCTGGCTTGAGTATGGATAGGATATTGAAATAGCTAGAAAATTTGGAGAGATTATTTATGCCTGAAACTTTGGGAAGATCACATCTGGTAGTAAGGGAAAGATTTATCCTCAATTTAAAATTCTTTGGAAAGGATCAGGGAATTTTTGTTGCGAAATTATATTTGGGGTCCTCCCTCTGAAAGAATATTTTAATTTGCAATTTTTACCCTGACAAAACAATTTGAGTGGAGCACAATGACTGCAGCAAGTATGTATCAGTAATGACCATGACAGGACAAACACCACATAGCAAGTCTTATAGGAATCAGGAAAGACAGAGCCTAAGTTTAACAGCAAAAATAGCCAACTTGTTAAGAAATGTTTCTGAAATGAAGTGCCTAGCAAATCCTCCAAAAATCAGTCTTTGCACAGGGACTAAATGTGGAAGGCATATTGTCTTCTTAATCCAGAACAGACTGACGCATCTTTTGAAGAACAAACCGAAATTCTTTCTAAACTACGAAATTTTGAAGAGACACCAGGCATGAATTTACCAGGCAGTAAAAAGGTCCTTTAGCCGCTTTCCTCTTGCCCCAGCCAGACCTCCCCATGCTGTTCCTTTGCCCATTTTTAAATAGTAACATCCAAATATGTATCTAGTAGAGTGATTGATTGGTGGATGACCAACAGATGGGTGGTTGGTAGATAGAGGCCTCTTAGTTTGTTTCTCCCGCAGTTTCCTGGTTTGCAGGAGCTTTATTTCCCTTATCACATATTCCCATCTGTTCTTTTTGAGTTGGCTTCCAGCGCAATGAATGGTTTCCATTTYTAATTTACCATATATACACAATTATAACTTTCTCGATGGACATGGGCAAAGAGCTTGCAGTCTTGACAACCATTCCATGAATGATGGAAGCATGTGCTGTCTATCGCCCAGTCAGTAGAAGAGCACAGGCCTCCACAACATTTCAGAGTTTACTACACAAGAAGACCTTGTTACCCCAGTCTTACAGACATGCATAAGGACAGAGATGACCGGTCGCAATAAATATCTGTCCTACTATCCAGACCCAATTTTTTATRGCCACCACTATCCTGCATTCTGGTTCTCGTGCATTGAAGCATCCTCCTCACTTTTGGGTATTTGACCATGGTGTGGTGTGTCTCTTCCAAGGCCCTGCCGCTGCTGCTAATGCCTCCTCAGGCTCAGGCCCCTCCGAGCACACCATGGTCTGATTCTCCAGGAGAGCAGTGTACTTTTGTTTTCCCCCTCCATGCATAAGAAGAGGTMTTCTTTGCACAAAATAAAAAACTAATTTTGTCAGAAAATCTCCAGGTGCTTGAGGAATGCCATATGGAGGACCCAAATGACAAAAGCAGCCATTGATGATGGACAAATTGTCACAAAGATGTTCTTTTTCCTAGTGTGGAACTGAATTTGCTAGCATGCTACACCATTACCTGCCAAGCAGCAAAATTCAGGATTGTATGAAAATCACACRAAACCTTGTTACCAAAGGGAGGGAGCAGCTGGTAGCAATGTCCCAAAGAGTTACACTTTGGAAGAATCAGCTYGTAGTTCAACATTCTAGCAGATCTCACGACATGAGCAGATCTTCCCCATCAGAAGCAGAGCCAGGTTTTGAGGAAATGATGCTTCCAAACAAATTAGCAGTAGTAGAAATAATAGCAGTAATACTGCACACCCCTTCTCATCATTGGAAGGATTTRGAAAGCAATCTTCCAGTAGAGCTGTGCCAGTTGCACACACAGCAGGCAGATGCAGGGAGCATCTGTTTCAGAGGATGCGCCAGCAGTGCTGGCACTGTGACATCAAATACCAGAGTACAAAAAGGCACCGGGAAACTTGCTGTAGGATCCTGTGGGGTGGGAACATGGTCCCTCCTGTCACCAGAGAAAAGACCGTTCAATCTGTGTCGCAGAAGCGATGTGCATCCTCCATCCTGGGGCTCCTGCTTGCTGCTCCACACACCCTGCACCACACAGTCATGCTCATTCAYGTCTACAAATACCAGATTGCCAGTGATTAATATGAGATCTTTAAATCTTGATGATGAATGGTTTTACATAACCAAACAGGAATGTTGTGTCCTACCACACATTTTCAATTGTCTGTTTCTACAAAATTGGGAGGATGGACTAACAAAACTCACCTGACTGATGAAGTGCCTTGATTAAGGGCTCCCAAAACTCAGCTCAAAACTAGCTACTAGCACCCAAACAGGCACCTATACAAGCCAGGTAGGAGTGAAACAGAAGCACACGTGTTTCTCTGAGTTGAATCTCAGAGACCTCAGTCTCAGGCACCACCAGCTCAGCAAGGACACAGCCCCAGATGCCGTGATCATGTGCATGACAGCAGGGCATGGTCACATTTCTTAGTTCCAGATGCATAACACAAGCTGGAGACCAGAGGCCAGCTCAGCTCAGTGCTACGCCACACTACGAGAGCCTTCCTTGCTCTCTGGGGAAGCCAGTTCTATTCCAAGCTGTGGGAAAACCACAGCCAGACCCCATGTTTTAGGTTTTTACTGCCTGCCCAGCCACATCATCAGACTATCTCATTTTTGGCAAATGATCTAGACATCAGTGAATTCTCCAGATATTAAAAGACTATCCTTCAGCCCGCTACATCACCTCTGAACGTGACCCCCCACCTAGACTGCAGCCCTTCAAGTTATCCTTCATTTGTTTGTTGGTGTGCTTCCTTAGATCTGCAGATCACTTTGATTATTGGAACATCTGGAAGCTGTCACTTGCCTTTTTTGACCATGACCATCTGAAATATTACCCAGCAGGACTTGAGGGGAGACACAGTAAGGAAACAAAAACATCCTAGTCAGAAGAACATGTGGCAGGAATTATCAAATGACACCATCCCAAAGGGTAGTGCTATATATCCAAGCAAAGGCAAACTTTCCCTCCATCCCCTAAAGCCAGGACAATTTTTTTTCTATAATATCCACTCCAGACATAAAATGATATTACATACAAATTCCTATGGTATTTTTCATTAAACATTATGTTATTAAAGTTAGTTATCTACTACTATTGGAGAAAAAGCATTTCTTTTATCCTCCAGCTTTCAAAACTAAGGACTAATCTCCCTCATACATAATTCTCCACAGAAAACCTCCCCAAAATGGTTCAGTGCCTGTGATGGTTAGGGTGCTTATTCCTGGTTTGCCTGTTGTCTTCACAGGCAGAGGGCAGGCTCTTTGGTAAAACTGGAATGGGATATATAAAAAATGAGATAAACAAGTTTGAAATACAGTCAGAGTTTCTCAGCAATCCCATCAGAGGGAGTAGGGGCGCTGGGGAAGAGGTGAAAAGCAGCTCAAAATGAATGCAAATGTGCAGGTGGAAGCCCAGGAAAATCAAGCACCGCTTTTAGATTTGGTTTCTCATTCTTAACAAGAATACAGAAATGAACAAATGAAGAACAAATGAAGTGTAGAGAGCCATAAAGACTGTACTGTTTCAGTCTGGCAGCTGTTAACCAGTTATATTTTGACCTTTGTCAAGAGGTTCTCCCTAAAATCAGAAATAGACGACAATGGGTTTCCTTCTGATCAGCCTGTTTGTTTGCAGGTCATGGGACCAAAATCTCGTTGCACTGGAGGAAAACAGGGGAACAACCAGGTTCAGTGGTACCATGCATGACTTCCAAACTGCCCTTCCCTGTGGGCAGCCAGCTGGAAGCGGGGCAGTCTTGGGGGGACGTGATACTAATAGATGTAGAAGTAAAACTATTTATTCCATCAGCCCTCAGCCTCTCCACGTCTCCAGAGTAAATCAGACCTTGAGGTATGGGCTTTGCCCGATGCTGTCGCTATTTCTTCTTCCTTTGGGAGTACTTTTACATTTGGTTGTGCAGCAGTCTGATTTTTTCTTCTTTAAACCAGG